AAAGTAGGAGGAAGTCCTCCATTTTAGTGGCCCACCAGTGAAGCTGTTTTTGGGATAGGAGCAGGGGAGAGTCAGAAGAGTCAATGACTCTATTGCTATCCCCCAACTGTTGCAACAATGGTTAAGCATCAATGAACTCAACTTATTAGAGATATGGAAGGAATTCACATAACGCCTGAGGGAGAAGCATAGTGGGATTCAGACTTCAAGTTGGAAAGTTCTGTTTCTTAGATGGTTGTCCTGCAAATATATAATACGACACAACTTTGTTGCAAGAGCTCAGTGTCAATTTTTTAAAAAGTAATTATGTAAATGTTAGATCAGATCTCAATTGGAAGCATCAGTTCTTTTTATCTCAAAGTCCTCTCTCATCTCCCCCTAGAATTTCCTCTCTGAAAGAAATGGGAGTTCCCTCACTTTGCTTAGAGACAAAGGAATACAGTGAGTAAGATAATATGATAAAATGTCATTTCTTGGTGCTTAAATGCTTGTTTCTCATAGTTTGGGGCACTTCAACTCCTGCTCACAATTCCAGTGTTATAATTGCATGTTGCTAATTTGCTAGCAATATTGGAGGGTTGCAGCTGTGGGTAGTAGCGTTTAGTTGTTCAAGATTTGCTTTCCTTAAAAAAACAAAAAAGCATTCACAGTAAATTTTCATTGAAAGCACTTTATTCAGCACTTAAACTCTCAGGGATGGTTGCCCTTCTTCCTCTTCAATTATGCAGTTTTTGTGAATTATAAGCAGCTATAGTTTTCTAATTAAACTTATACGGATCATAAGGCAGACTCATCACATTGAGAATAGCAGACTATAAAGAATAACTGTTTTTTGTTTAAACAATGGCACCTCATTGAACACCAAGGAAAAAGTTTATGGGAAGAAAGATTTGCATGTCCAAGTGAACAAGGAGATGCTTCGCCAAATAAATTTTTGAAATATTCTGTGACATATTTTCTTGCAATGAATATTGTATTAGCACAATGAGAAGTATATACAAGAAAGTCCTGAGTTTTTAGAACTCTTTAGAGGCAAAACTTATTTTCTGCAGAGGAATTGTGGGCCAACAGAATCCTTTCTTTCATCTTTGCTCTCAAAGTAGAGGCAATTTGTTTACCTATTGATAGAATCCTTACTAATATAAAAAGCCAAGGGTTCCATTCTGCATTTCTTCCTTGCACACTCCCCATATACAGATACACAAACAGTATATGCACACATATACCACACAGCCTCCCATCCAAATACTGGCCAAATATGGCGGTTGCATCATATATTTTCATCTGTTTTCGTGAACATTATTTCAATTGCTTTGTGGCAATACTGAAATGCATTCTTGCCTTGTTTTTTCCTCCTAAAAGTTTCAGATAATTACATACTTATTTATACTGTTCCAAATGTCCTTTTGTCAGCCCACCCAGGCAAACCAGACAGGAAACATGAAAAGATGAACTAATTTTATTATGTTGTAAGGCTATATTAATAGAATCTTGCAAGTGAAAGCATAAACTTCCTGCCACCCATTTTTAACCATTTGGTGCATTAGGGCAGGTTCTTTCTAAGTTTCTTTCTCTATTAAGTCACTGGGGGCTCTTGCCTTTCTTGTCTGATTGTGTTGTGGCCCGTCAGTGGCCTGCGCAGATTGTTGTTGATCCCGACGAGGAGGCTGGTGTGGTGCTACGCCAGCAGCCTGTGTAGCCAGCGCTTGATTCGGACAGCGAGGAGGCTGAAGAAGATGTGGTGCCAGAGGCAGGGATCCAGTCAGGGCCTTCAGAACCTCCAGAGGCTCCTTTAAGTACAGAGGATGAAGAGGAGGAGCCTCTTCTCAATGCATGGGCACACAGAGCTGCCAAAAGGCAGGAGTGGTTCCTCAGGAGGAGGTCTCCTCGAGAGTAAGGCTTGGGGCTAATTGGCCACTCCCTTAGCCTATTTAAGAAAGGACGCAGCTTGCAACAAGCTGCAGAAAACAACCTTAGTTTGCTAATCTTTGTGTTTGGGATTTCTCTGCAACCTGGTTTCTGGGCTTTCTGCCAACTCCAGTAAGACTCTGACTATCTTATCTATGGAATTCTGGCAGGCTGTTAAGAATGCTTATTAACAGCCAGCATTTGCTAAAACTGCGTTATTTGTGTAAACTAAGTTTTGTTCAGAGTTTGTGTGTGCTGTGTTCTTTGGGATCCGTAGCTGGGGCAGACAGTGTTTCCTAGGCAGCGTCTCTTCTCCTTTTTCCCTATGGTCACTCCTACATCCCATTACATCTTTTCATCTACTCAGAGATGAACATACACTTAAGCATCACATGTAATTGAGATGCTTGAACCGTTTGGACTTCCGAGGGCAACAATGACCAATTGCTGAAAATAGAACCCCATGAATGGATCGGCTCCTCAAAATTCCTCTTTGGATCAAGCGGAGGACAAGGGTCACCCACAAGTTTGCTCCACACAGAATCTCCCTGTAAAGAGATTATAAAATAGCGATTTCCAGCAGGTTTGAGAGCTGTTAGAGCCAGGGAAAAAATCATCCTGCCTTACTTTCAAAGAGATACTGGGTTCCCCCATTAATTTCATGTAGGTTTAAGGATTAAAAAGAAAAGTTGTACTTTTTGGAAAACAGCAAAAGGGAGCTAGAATATGGATTTTGGAAAGTTAAGGAGCTAGATGGATTAATGTCATATTCCTTTCTTGAACATCATAAGAATTGCTTCTTTATTTGCAAATAGCCAAGTGGAGCAGGAAGTAGACGTACTGTTGTTTGAACACTAGCCAGGATTTTTAACAAAAGAGAGATGCATTAACTTTGTACTGCAGAAAGTATACCCTAACACAGAGTACAGTAATTGTTATAACGATAGTACGTTATCTCCTCCTTTCCGGAAGCTGAAATGCTTCCACCAAAAGTTGATAAGCAAGAAAAGGGGGTAAGACAGGAGATTAAATATCACTTCTGATTAACAGCAAACTCAGTGGATTCAAAGAGGATTTAGAGCCAAAGTAGAGCAATGGAAGAATAAAAAAGATGCATCAATATGGTTGGAAAAACCCAAGGTGTATAGAAAAGTGTATACATCTATCAACACATATGAGAAAATCCCATCTTTTTTGCATAGTAGGATGCAAGTTAGTCTTGACTGACTTAGCTTAAAAAGTGACCAACAAAAACATTGAGATGGATTAGAACAGCCCTCTTAAATTTTCTGCAGTTTCCTCTCCAGTTTAGTAGCTGGAAGTCTGGAAAGGAACATTTTGCTTAGTAACTGAGGATATACACTGTAACATTTATGACATTCTTCAAGGTCTCAATCATACTTGATAATTCAGTGTTTCTCAACTTTGGCAACTGGCAGATGAGCAGACTTCAACTCTGGGAGTTGAAGTCTGCCCATCTTCAAGTTGCTAAGGTTGAGAGACACTGTGACAATTCATCCATACTGGAAAGAATAAGATGTTGAAGTCTAAGTGTTTTCTTTACTTCCTCATGTCAGGGTTCCAAGTAACACCCCCAATGAAAGAAAACTCTGAGGATTGAGTTTCCTCAAACTTACATTTTATTAGAGACATCATATTGGCACATCTGGGAAGACCCTAATCTGAAAGCTTCCAGGTTTTCCCCACCCAAAGAAAAGTTCAAGTCCCTGCCCAACACCCACAAGTCCATCACATGGTCCAATCAAGCATCATACCCACTGGAGATGCCTCCCAAGTCCAGCCTTCCAGGTGCAGGGCAACTTGGCCTTGACTTCTTGAGAAAGGAATGTTATTTTGACTATATTTCACCCATGCTCATATAACCCCCTCCCAGTTTCAACAGTAGTAAACGTGGCAGGTCTGAAGGCCTAATACAAAAAATGGTTTCCAGGCCTGACAGCCCCCCCCCGCCCCCAGTCAAAAAATCGTATCCTGAAATGAGAGTAGCATAGTGGTTAATCATTCAGCATACTAACCGCGTCTCCCTCCCCTAGGGTAAAAGGACCCTTTTACCACTTCAGGTGTTGAAGTAGTCTAGGTGTACCTCTTAGAATTAGATTTGGATTGTTGTTTACCATATTTATAATAACATTAAAAAGGCAGGATGAAAATTAGGGAAGATACAGAATGATGGGTTTAACTTTTATACAGCCATGCAATCAGATTGCTGAGTACTAGTGGAGATGCAACTGGTGCTCTTATTTCTTTCTCTCTTTCCCTATTTCAACCTTGTCCTTTTGTGAAATTTGTTTAAAATTTTATATAAAGCTATGAATAACTCATGCATGCAATGCTTATTGACTCCTGTTTTTCACTAACATTCATTGACCCTTAGGTCAATAAATGTAAAGTTGATTTAAGAAGTCAATATGCCTTATTTTAATTTAGATTAAGTTTTTATCTGATTCAGCACTCTAGCTGTCTTTTTATAAATAAAAATCTCATGTCAATTTATTATTAAAATTTATGTCAAATATAAAATGTTTTCTGTAGGACTGGAAATCCCCTGTTGACTTATTATTTTTTAAGCATTTCCAACCCAGTATTTTGAAAGTGACCTTCCTGTTTTTATTGTGCCCTTTTAGATGCTGCCTCAGCTATTGCTCAAAAGGAATTCAACCATTAATTTGTACAGCTGGCTCCCTACAATAAGGGCACACTTTATTCTTATTTTATAGATCTTACAGTGCAGAAATATCAATGTATTGGACTTAGATAATAATTTTTATTTTTTATGTTATCTTTCTGGAATTGAAGTGTTAATAAAATTATCACTTGTTGAACTTAAACTAAACCAGACTTCTAAATGTGCATTAAATGCAAAAAGAAAATTTAATTCAGTTAGAGTGTGCTGCAGAATGTTTCTGACGATGTGATGATTTCTCAATGGGAAAATATAGCTGTGGAGTTTCCATTTATGTGAAAATTGCTCTTTTACTGTGTACTCCCTTTGATAAGATTATATTTTTTCTGTCTTTTGATTTGCTTTCTTATTAAGAGTTACATTTATAAATCAATATTTTTCTTCTTAGGCATTGATTTTAAAGTGAAAACAATTTCATGTAATAATACAACTATGAAACTTCAAATATGGTAAGTTTTATAAGGAATATAATTAGTTTTGGTCTAACAGTTGATCATAAATAGCCTTCTTTAGCAGAGAAAAAACATAATGAATATATTGTTGTTTCCAAATGCACGCTAATCAGTGGATTGAAGTTGCTAATGTTCCAGTAGGTACAAAGGTGCTTATGAACGCTTCCATTGTTGTCTTCCAGATCCACCAGCACATCTGAATTCCTGAATTTGCAAACATTAAAAAAATAATTTTATGCAGAACTTTGGCACAACACAAAACACCAGTCTTTGTCATCGTTTTACATCTAAAAATATTTGTGGGCTTCACATGTGAAGAATCTAGATGATGAGCACAGGGAAGATCTGCAGATATATATGGCTTAAGGCTAAACCAAGAAAAAGATTTATGCAAACAAGTCAAACAAGCCTCCTCCATACTAACTATCATTCTAAAAAAGGAAATTTAGGCCTACACAATGTCAATTTCTTAGTCTGGTCTATCCTATAGGGTGGACATTTCCCCATAACAACCATTTATATTACATCTATGTCATCCTTGAATATATAGACATTCTTGATGTATACATCAGGATATATACATTTACAAGCCTAATGTGTATGCACATTGATTGACTATGCCTGTCAAGTCGGTTTTTGACTCCTGGTGACTGCCTGGATGAGGCCCTGTAATTTTCTTGGCAAAATTTGCAATTGCCTCCTTCCTAGGCTGAGTAACTGGCCCAAGGTCACCCAGGTGGCTTTATGCCTCAGAATGGGATAAGATCTCATCGTTTCCCAGATTATACTCTGGTACCTTAACCACAGCACCAGACTGGTTCTGGTGTATTCAGAATAGGCCATAAACTGGGTGAAAAGAAACTTTCTTTCATAGGGCTAAAGTCTTCAGATTAAGAATATTTTCTATAGCCATAGTTTCAGTTTTGTAAAGCATCTGCTCTCGAACAACTCTCATGTAGAAGGCCAAAGATATATATCAAAGGAAAAGCAACTGGATCATTAGAATTTCCACAACTCAGCCCTGCTTCTACTTTTAATTCATAGATACCGTAATTGCACTGAGTACATGTGGCTCTTTGTCTACAGTTCTGCAGTGAAAAATAGTGCTAAATTATCTATTATAATCTATTTTAGGGATACAGCTGGCCAGGAAAGATTTCATACATTTACTACTAGTTTTTTCCGAGGAGCACATGGATTTGTTCTTGTTTATGATATCACAGATGGAAAAAGCTTTCAAGGAATTTCATACTGGATGAAAGATATATATGAGGTAAGCTTCTGCTCTTCTGGCCTCTTTTGACCCCTCCCTTGAGTCTAGCTGGAGATTCCATTACAAAGATTGAATCCACAAATGGCACGTACAGCACAGGAAATCACAAGGAGCACAACAGCTATTTTGAATTTTTTATCTTTATGGAGGATAGGGGTGGGGGAATTGGTATTTGCCAGCATTAAATTATTGAAAACAAAATCAGTGTCCCAACTTTTGTATGGTGCTCATTTATCTTCTATTTCTATTATGGAATCTTTACAGATAAAATTCCTTAGCAGAATTTTACACTTATCCAGATATATAGCAGATGTTTGGGATGTAGAAAGTTGAAAGTTGAAAACAGATATTGGATAGCAATTGCTATTTATTGGTTACAAATAATTCTTCCCAGACATAAAATAAAAATAATTAAGTAAAAATAATTTTTCCCAATTGGATTGTCTATCTGTCTATTTAATAAATTCCAATTTAGGTAATTACAAAATGTGTAATTTTAAAATTCTGCTCCTTGGATTATCCCCCGAATATTTACTCTCCTTGGGTTATAAATAAGTAGTAATGGCTCCAAGACAATATATTTAAGATGTAAACCTTCAACAAGAAATTAGATCCTAAATTGGTAGAATCAGAGAGTGGCTCATCCATCTTTCCAGCTAGGATGACTTATTCTTTTTTGCTTACTCCCTAAATATAAGAGTGAGTTTGCTAAATCAAAATTTAACTTGCTACTGTGGTAGTTTTACAGGGTAAATTTAGTAACATTGTACTTAATGTCCATACCCTTGTGGATCAAAAGCAATAGCATTTTTTTTTCTTGTGGAATATGCTAATTCTTATAGAGATAGTGATTTTGTTGACTTCCCAGATATCATAGATTTAGTTTACATTTCCATATTTTTATCAGTTAAAGATAATATACCACATTACAAAAGTATGTGCCATTAGATATTAGTAAACATCTGAATAAACCTAGCATTGTCTTATGAATGTAAAGGACAATTTGATTCTTATCTGGAAAGTTTTGATTAATATGCAGAGAAGCCAGAAACCTATTACTTTATACAATATTTTATTATTTCTAAATGTTGCTAGAATACTTATCTACTACATGCTAACTTAATCATATTTACTTTTTTGATAGGCTTGTTTGCAAAAATATAAGAACAATTCTATTGCATTAGACTAGAGTCATTTAATCCATTCTTTATCATAAGAGTTAATTGGATATCTTCAAAAAGCCCACAATTAGGTATGATGGTAATAAACTTCATATGCTGTTGCTATTTTAATATTGTATTCACTGAAATGTTCCTGTAACAGTTAGTTTTTCCTTTAGCCAGCTTTGCAAATGGCTTGATAGCTAATTTTGATAGCTTGATAGCTATATTATTTTATAAAGCTACTAAAACCAGCAATTCTTATTTTGTAGTGTTGAAATCCATGTATTCATTCATTGTGAAATAGAATGATTCTATTCTCCCAATTTGTTTCAAATTTACAATTTCATTGGATGAACATGCATTTTAGATTTTTTAAAAAAATATTTTTGCCTTAATATTCTGCTCTAGCATTTAACCTGAGCTAAATATTAGGCCTCTTAGATGAATGACTATAACCTATCGAACTGCATGCTAATCTAACTGAAACAAATGATGTATTTACAAAACTGCAATCTTCATGTTAGTAGCTTATGGCTTATGAAGCACTTTATGCATCTTAGGGAGCCCTCTTAAGGACATTTCTATTTCTTGCTATTACTTTTTAATAGCAAGAATTAATCTCTTCTTCAAGCAATTAAAATGTATTTTGTAGTACAAAGTATTTACACATGTTTCTGTTCTATGCATGAGGTATACAGAAGTGCTGTCGTGTCTTTTTTTTTTTTTTTTTTACATTATGTGTACTGTATGAATGTTTGGATTTGAAGGATACTTGTTATTTATTGGGCAAAATGTTTTTCTAGTGCTCTTTGCTCCTAAGAAAAATTAATTCCTCACCTCCTAATTAAGTGGCGATGTGTACCATCAGGTGATTTGGAATGATTAACAATTAAGGAATAAAACATTTATTTAAAAAGTAAGAAAGAGATGAGGTTAAAAAGCAGATAAGCAACGAAAACCATGGTTCCTTCAGTTCCACTACCAGTAATAATTATAATAATTCAAGCAGCTGCTATGTTTGTGTCAAATCACATCTCATTGCATGTTACCATATTTTCCGGCGTATAAGACAACTCTTTAACACATGAAAATCTTCTCAAAAGTCGGGTGTCGTCTTATAGGCCGGGTGTCATTGTCCTGTAACCAGGCAGACCAGCCCGAAAGGCTCTGACGAGCCTTAAATGGCTCTGGCGACCAAGCTCTGACGATCTGCTAATCAGGCAACTCAGCTGGGATCGCCAGAGCCATGGAGAAGGGAAAAACTTTTCCCCCTCCAGCTTGCTTACCTTAGCTCAGAGGTTGGGGGTCAAAAAACCCTTTCACAGGGGTTTTGCAGGTGGTGCAATACAGAAAAACGAGCGCAGCCCTCGCCATCCGGAATGAATGGTGCTATTGTGGCGGTGGGGGAGGGGGCGGCAGAAGCGGGAAGAAGCGGCGTTTGCAATGGCTGGAAGCTGTGAGAGTGAAGCACTACTTTCATTTGTATGGCAACAGCATTCCGCCTTGTTATATTTGTGTCAGCCAGTGGCGCAAGGCAGCCCTCCTCTCCTGCTGCCTGGGACTCAGAGTGGTAAATGGCGTCTGATCCGGAGAGCTGCTGGATTTTGCTCTCTAATCCAGATGCCAGATCAGCCCTCTGCAAACTCTCGTCTCTCGAGGAGCGCTCCCTGAAGCGGGGCTGGAAACTTTGGTTGGGCTGCTTGAGAGAGGAGAGCTTGCAGGGGGGCGATCTGGTGTCTGCAATGGAGAGCAAAATCTGGCTTTTTCTCTCCGCTGTAAGAGCGTTGTAAGAGCAGCAGCCCTCATCTCCTAATGCTTGGGACTCGGAGCGGTAAATGGTGACTGGTCCGGGGAGCAGCTGGATTTTGCTCTCCATTGCGGACGCCAGATCAGCCCCCTGCAAGATCTCGTCTCTCGAGGAACCCGACCAAAGTTTCCAGCCCCGCTTCAGGAAGTGCTCCTCGAAAGATGAGATCTTGCAGGGGGCTGATCTGGCGTCTGCAATGGAGAGCAAAATCCAGCTGCTCCCCGGACCAGTCACCATTTACCGCTCTGAGTCCCAAGCAGCAGGAAATGAAGGCTGCCTTGCGCCGCAAACATACCAAGGCAGAATCCTGATGCTGCACTTTCAGCAGACAGATGAGGGCTGCCTTGGCCATCGGCTGGCGCAAATATACCAAGGCAAATTCTCATGCCACACAAGTTCAAGTAGTGCTTCGCTCCCACACTTCTTCCGGCCCTCAGTCTCTCAGCATCTCAGGGAGAAGCTTGACTTCCTCTCAACCCCAAGACACTGGCTGGCCCATGAGATGAGAGAGAGAGAGAATGAGAGAGAAAGAGAGAGAATCAGAATGAGACAGAGAGAGAAAGAGACAAAGAATGAAAGAGCGAATGAGAGAGAGAGAATCAGAATGAGACAGAGAGAAAAAGAGACAAAGAATGAAAGAGAAAGACAGAATGAAAGAGAATGAGAGAAAGAGACAGAGAGAATCAAAGAGAGAGAGTGAGAGAGAGAGAAAGAGACAGAGAATCAAAGAGAATCAAAGAATCAGAGAGAATGAGAGAGAGAGAAAAAAAATGAAAGAGAATCAGAATGAGAGAATCAGAATGAGAGGGAGAGAGTGGGGAGAGAGAGAGAAAGAGGGGGAGAGAGAAAGAATGAGAGAGAAAGAGGGGGAGAGAGAGAAAGAGAAAGAGGGGGAGGGAGAAAGAGAGAAAGAGTGGGGGGGAGAGAGAAAGGGGTACAGAGAGAAAGAGAGAATGAGAGAGAGTGGGGGAAGAGAGAAAGAGGGGGAGAGAGAGAGTGGGAGAAAGAGAGAGAGAAAGAGAGGGGAGAAAGAGAATGAGAGAGAAAGAGTGGCAGAGAGAAAGAATGAGAAAGAGGGTGGAGAAAGAATGAGAGGGGGGAGAGAAAGAGAAAGAGTGGGAGAAAGAAAGAATGAGAAAGAGGGGAGAGAGAAAGGGAATGAGAGAGTGGGGGAGAGAAAGAGAGAATGAGAAAGAGTGGGAGAGAAAGAAAGAGAGGGAGAGAGAGAGAGAAAGCGAAAATGAGAGAGAAAGAGAGAATGAGAGAGAAAGAGTGGGAGACAGAGAGAGAGAGAGAGAGAGAGAGAGGAGGGAGAGTGCCTAAAGGACCCCATCCTGTACTGGGAGTCCAGGTGCTTCAGCAAGTGGCGCACTGGATTCGTATTAGTGGTCCGCGAAATTTAAAATTATGAAGTTGGTGGTCCCTGAGGTCCAAAAGGTTGGGGACCCCTGACCTAAGACCATCGGAAAACACATATTTTTGATGGTTTTAGGAATAACTTTATCGTTGGGGGTAACCACAACATGAGGAACTGTATTAAAGGGTCGCGGCATTAGGAAGGTTGGCAATCAAGCAGGCAGGGAGTTGTGGACTTCAAGTCCCAGAATTCCTCAGCCAGCAAAACAAAGCTAGCTGAGGAATTCTGGGAGTTGAAGTCTACAAGTCTTAAAGTTGCCAAGGTTGGAGACCCCTGTTCTATTGGGTAAGTTTTTTTCCCCTTTGGGATCTTTAAAAAAAAATAGTTAATTGGGGTTTTTTTTAGTTGTTCTTTTTTAGACCTAGCCATTTAAAGTTTAGGAAGTTTTAAATTTAGCTTTCATATAAAAATAAAAATAAAATAAAATAATATTTGTGCAGCTTTCTGAGATTTAGTGTGTTTTTGTAGTGTTTCACTCTAACTACACAAACACACAAAATCTCACAAAGCTGTATGTGGAATTTTGTGTGTGTAAAGTGTGAAAGTTGGGTTTTTGGGCTTTTTGTGGCTGTGTGAGGTTCCTGCTTGTTTCAGGGGCCATTTGAGTCTAGCACAGCTGCTTTTACATTGTGGATGAGCCAGTTGTGTTGTGTTGTGTTGTGTTGTGTGTGTGTAAAGTGTGAAAGTTGGTTTTTTTGGCCTTTTTGTGGCTGTGTGAGGTTCCTGCTTGTTTCAGGGGCCATTTTGGGTCTAGCACAGCTGCTTTTACATTGTGGGTGAGCCAGTTGATGTTTTTTTAATTTTTATTTGGTGTGCGTTGGAAGAGGGGTAGTCTTATACGGCGAGTATAGCCCAAACCCTATATTTTAGCAGGAAATTTTGGGGGTCGACTTATACGCCCAGTCGTCTTATACGCCGGAAAATACGGTAATTGCAAAGATATGTTAAATAGCAGATCTGCTTAGGCTCCCAAATTTTTCAGATAATCCAGAACAAGGCTCCCTTGCATTGAGTCTCTATGTAATCAATTACTTTTCTATACTAATGTGGCAAACTACTATTGAACTACTCCACCTAGTGGCTGATAAAAAACATAATGCTTCTCATAAGGAATCCAGAATATGAATTAATTGTTCTTAATTTTTAGAGCTGAAAAATTAGTTTAAAGTTTTCTTATAATAAAGAAGCTATCTACTCTTGGTTTAAGGAATAAATGGGAAAAGAAATCAAATTAAATTCTAGATTTCTCAAAGCAATCTTGATTATCTGAATTGTGCAAATAGCACCACAATGAAGGAATCTCTGTTAAGATTTTAATTTAAAGTAATACGTAAATGTTTTTTTCTGGAATTTTTAAAATGTATTTTTTGATATAAATTTAAATCAATATTGAATAAAGATACACATATCCAAAAAGTAGAGAATTTCATTGTTCGTTTTTCAAATGTAAGAATTTTAGTCAGTTTTTAGAAAGCAAATAAAATTAAATATCTTTTCTAATTATTACAAATTATTATATTATATACTTATCTATTCACAATTCTGTGTTTTAGGAATGCAATATAATTTTATGTAGGGGAGCCATTGACTTTAATGAGTAAAGCTCCAATGCCTACTGAAAAAAATCAACATTTTGGTCTACCACAGGTTAGATTGATTCATTATTTTAAGCCTGTACTCTGATAATGAGTTTATTTCATTTTAGAAACTGCATTATCTTGAACATCAGCTGCATTTATGAAATGAGATTAGTTGAGTAAATTAGAAAAGATGGAATGGCAGACCTTAATAAATCTTGTCTAGTGCTCTGCTGCTAAAACTGAGCAATACAGTTATGATGAGTAGGTATGCAGGATGCTAATAACTCTATTGATTGTCATGAATAATAATGTTGTTCCTTTGCATCTTTTCTGCATGTTGGGGTGACATTTCTGTTTTACGCTAAAATATATGAGATAACTGCACTAATGCAAAGGTATTCATGTAACTTAATAGATGCAAAACAAGTGGTGGTCTTGTTTTATTCTATTTACACGTCTTTCTTTTTTATGTTAACTTTCCTGGGTTTAGCAACAGCATAATTCCATTTAAAACTTATAGGGTAAGAGCGTGATTTCTATAGATTTTTTAAATTTAAGGTTAATCTGACAGTCTTCTTTTGGGTCACTTCAATTCTTGGAATCCTTGGGTGGGAACTGGGATTTATAAATGTTGAATGAAGTGTAAAAGTTCCATACTTCAATACATTGCATATAAACTTCCAAATTCCAGATTTAGTTTTTGGAATAGACAGAAGAACTTTAACAGTCCTTGATGTAACAGATTTCAGATGCAACAACAGAAAAAAATTGTACACTATATATGCTTCTGCGTATGCATAACATCCAATTGGCCATGTCATGCATGTGTGAAATACATACAACTTGAATAAATAAAATTCTATTTCAATTTTAGGTAAGCATAAAAACATGTGTAAAATCCCATTCCCATTTTATGCAGGCATAAAGAACATTTACATCGAAGTCTTCCTCCTCAAGACCTCCTCTGTGTTTTTTAAAAATGATCATGTGTGTCTGTATATGCAATCAACTTTTTGAAGAAGAAAGTTTCCATTGTATATTATATTTTATATTAATGTCCTAAAGAAACGTAATATCTTTTTGTTACCTTGACTTCAAAGAATTTCTCAGTTGTCAGGAAGCAGCAGGAACAATTAATCTAAGTCAATGACTAGAATTAGAAAGGCTTCTCTTGCTGAAACAATAGATTCATATTCATAAATACTTTTTAAAGTATCGACTTACTACTTATTTGTCTATACAGGACAAATAGAGGAAAGCCCAGCCAAGGCTTTATTCCATAGTGAGTATGTGTCTGTCTGTCTGTCTGGCCTTATTTTGGCTAGCACAATGGGATTCTATCCCATCCTTAGTAGAGTACGTTTTGATGAAGATAGTCAGATTCTGTCGAAACTTACTGTTTCAAGGTAAATCTGCTAAGTCAGAGGTCCCCAACCCCTGGTCCATGGACCGGCACTGGTTTGTGGCATGCCAGAAACTGGGCTGCGCAAACAAGGAAAACCGTATCTGTGGGATGCAGGCAGCATGTGAATCCACGCCCTCTCCGGTCTGTGGAAAAACCTCTCTCCATGGAATCGGTCCATGATGCCCAAAAGATTCGGGGGCCGCTGTGCTAAGTGAAGAAACTGAAAGCAAAGCCTTTCATAATGATTCAGTGGTTTGTGGATGCTTTATTACATCTTTCTTGAAATATTAACCCAGTATGTGCAAAATGTCTAGTGTGGGATGGTTACATTTTTGGCAATACAGCATCTTGGTTACAGGGTCCTAAAAGTGCTTCAGAGCATGAGGGATACAGGACATAGCAATGCACCCCATCTATAATTCTTTAAAGCAGCTCCATCCTTCCCTTCTATCACATGGCTGAATACAGTTAGAGATTTAGGCTGTACATAACTATTGGTTGTCTTGACCTATGAATTAAATTTGCAAAATGAATTTGCAAAATCAGAGGATTGATCATCTTTATTACCCCATGAAATTATGTCCACCGTGAACAGAAACCTGTGGTGTTTGTTCTTTATGTTTGCTATAGGTAAATGACTAATTCATCTGGTCCATATTGTACTGAGTAATAGGTGACTTGTTTTCAAAATATTTCATGCATAATTGTAATTTGTGACTATTTTTTAATAGTTGACTATCTGGCTTGGCTCAAGTTTTCCTAAACATTTGAAGAAATGTTGTAAAGCACATAACAACTGTGCGATGCCAGAATGAGCTAAGAACCGGACAGTTCCCTTATAATAATTAACTTGGAAGCAAATAAGGAATGAGATGGTTCATTTGTTCAGTTTCATTTACTGAATATTTGTTCTCTTGATTGGTTGAAGTTTTCTCAGGTTTACATTTTTTGTCTATTTGGTGTAGTAAGATTTTACTTTTCAGATAGAGAAAATGTATATTGTAAGATTAGGCAAAAGTAGACTACAACTATATTTCAATGTATTGATAATCATATTCTGTCTATTTATAGAAAGTAGGTGAAAATACAGACATAATACTGCTGGGTAACAAGTGCGATAAGGAGGCAGAACGTATTATTTCAAAAAACAAAGGAGAAAAGGTAGGCACGTATTATAAATGATTGCCTTGTTGCTTAAATATTTTGGGGTACATTATCAAAATATATTTGCAATATGACCATAAATGCAGTTGTTTACTATCGCAGATTAGCAGCCTGTTTCATTACTAAAGGACAATATAGTGAAGAATTATTCACAGGATTATACTTTTCTTGTTGTCTCTAGTTGTCCCTGATGTGGATTCAAAATTTGCTTTAACACTGTTCCAATTTTTCAAAAGAGATTCCCCGCCCCCCACCAGAATGCTCCAATGACCTACTAGCAGCAGAAGCTATTATCATTAGCAGAAAGAGTGCATTTAAATTCAATAAAATGTTAAAATATTTTTTCTTAAATTTTTAACAAGATAAAATTTTTAGAGAATAGGGAAAATAAAGAAAATAGTAAACAGACAAAGGAAAAAGAAAAAAAGATTATGAAAAAATGACATCCAACTTTCTTCACAGTGAGTACAGTTCAAATTCATTTACATTTTATCCCCTCTAAGGTTAAATCAAAATTGGATTTCATTATAAATTAGAAAGTATGAGACAAGTCAATTCATTTAAAATTTGTGGGAGCTTTTGAAAAAAAAAACATGACCTGCTTGCTAAGATTTATTTTATGCCCTGGAATCTTACAAAAAAAAAAAAGTTAAATAGAAAATAGAACACTTTCAGAAATTATTTTATTTCTGTCTTCTTCCACTCCACATGTTTAACATTTTAAAAAAATATCTACCTTGAATATTTCCCCTCAGTGCAAAAGGGAACCAGTTCATGTCTCCCAAAATTCCTTCTGACTCAGCTGTCAAAAACCAGCATTCCTGCATTTTATAACTCCTCAAATGACTATAGAGAGAGAGAAAATAGCCCAAACAGTCTTCCAACAGACATATAACCCAAGAAAAAACACCTTAATACCATAGATTGAATTTGGTATCATGACAGCTATTTCAAGTGGCATTCAAGGAAATAACAGTAATTCTTTTTTAAGTATTTGTGACCACACAACTATGCTACAAATTATCATTATAAATGATCACAAGGTGGCAGTGTTGAGATATCTCAACACTTTAAAATATTTCACTTGGCTCACTTTAAATATTTCAGCTCATTTTCCAATTTTCTATGACTACCCTGCAATTGTTATCTTACTACTGGAAAAAAATCCATGGTTTCCTTTCCTTAATCTGCCTCCTGCCTCAGTTTCCTTTATGTTCTGAATTGCTTTTATATTTCTTTGTCAGAACATGAAAGATTTTGCTTTTTATTTTTATTTTATTTATTTATTACATTTTTATGCTGCTTATTTCCCTATAAGGGACTCTTATAATGAAGGTTTACTTCATGAATGAAAGGTTCCTAGGAAGCAATGTTGGACTAGTTTGGGGCAGCTCCAAATTCAAGTCCACTCTTGGAAACTTACTTAGTGACTTTATGTTAGTCATATTATCTCAGCCCAACCTACTTCACCAAGTTGCTATTGCAGTAAAATGAAGGGTGGCCCCATGTTGGCTGCCTTAAGGTCTTGAAGGAAAGATTGGCTGCAAAGCTGAATAAATGAATGTTGTTTCTTATAATAATACTAATAAACAAACAAAAGTGTATTAGTTACATTACATTTGTAACAGCAGACAATAGCAATAGCACTTACGACTTATATACCGCTTTACAATGCTTTTACATTCTTCTCTAAGTGGTTTACAGAGTCAGCATATTGCCCCCAACAATTTGGGTCCTTGGAAGGATGGAAGGCTGAGTCAACCTTGAGCCTGGTGAGATTTGAATTGCCAAATTGCAGGCGGCCCATAGTCAGCAGAAGTAGCTGCAGTATGCAGTCTAACCACTGCACCACCAAGTGACTGAAAACACTGTTAAGAGGAGTTTAAAGAACAAAACAGCCTTCCATATAATTTCTGCTTTCGCACTTCACTGTTGTAAGCATAATTTATTGATTCCTTCTTGCGCTAAGGTGGCAATTTTAACTCACTGCTGAGATCAGGTTTTAAACAACTAACTTGAACCAAATTTCCATTAAGGAAATGAATATAAGGGAAAATTCTTATTTCTTTTTTCACCATACCCAAATCTCTCATCTTTTTTTCCTCTTTGGAATGAAAATTCACATTACATTTATAACTTGAACAACATATGAATACTTTATTTTTGCAAATTATTATGTAAGTATTTTATTTTGTTTTTAACTCTGTGATTATAGGATACATCTGTGGCAGGAGTGTCCAACCTTTTGGCTTGCCTGGGCTGCTTTGAGTTAAGAGGAATTGTCTTGGACTGCATACAAAATATGTAATATAGTTAATGTATATAAATCACATAACTTTAAAAGTTTACAATCTTTTGGGATCACATTACTTACTAGCTGTCCAGGGCCTCATGTGGCCCACGGGCCATAGTTGGACACACCTATCTATGATTTTCTCATTAAATGAAACTTATCTGGATTCATGCAGTACACTGAACCCTAAACTCATCACATGGACTGGCTTCACATAACATGCTAGGTTTCAACCGAGTTGTTAGTGTGCAAACCCAGAAGAATCTTCATTATTCTTTTAATTGAAAACATAAAATGTGTCAACATACAAGAAAGGCACTTTTTTTTCTCATTCACACAATACTTTCTAGTTTTCTTTTAATGCAAGTTTCATAGCATGAAAAATAAGTTCATAAAATTAAAGATACAACCCAGACTTTCACTTGGGCGAGGTTGTAGAAATCTTCCTATTATCCATGCTTTCATTTGCTTCCCTTAGATTTGCTTTTGCTGGTACAAGTGATTCAGTCTTTATTATTATTATTATTATAAACAATCAATTATAGAAACTAGAGGAAGGCAATAATTACAGGTGCTCAAAATAGCTATAAATTCTCTGCTTCCCCCCATAAAGATATTTGCCATGGAGCTATACTGAATTCAGGTGACACAATGATATTTGCTACTCAAAAAAGCAGTCTTTTTTCCCCCCAACTCAAATTATTTATCTTTTCTTTCCTATTTTTTTCCGAAGTGTCTCAAATAGAAGCTGCATTTGAAATGTAATGATTCCCAAATGGTGGCTTGTAGAATAAACATATGAAATCATGTTATTTAGGATTACTATCAACTGAAAACATACTTTTAAAGTCTCACATACCTTGGAATGTAGTATAATTTATTTTTACAAATATTGATTAAGTTCCTAGTACAGCGATTATAACCAAACCTTGGGCTAAAACTCTTGATCTTAATTATAATTACTTTGCATATTTAATTCAAAAAGAGATATTATATGCTTGGAGGAAGACATTACATTTTCTGAAAATTATTTTAGATGATTTTTAAAATATTTGTATTTAAAAGTTGTGAATGGGTGATTTGAGATTTGAGAATACATAAATGATTGCATATCAAGTCAAATACATTTTTATTTTCCAACCTCTTAGCTGGAGTGTAAGGTTGTAGGGGATAAGACCAGATGAAAACGTTGGACAGGTACTTTTTAAATTTGAAACTGTGAAACATAATTTTTCAATTCTAACTGGTTCCGTTCAGTTTGGCAAAGATCCTTCACATGATTTACTAACTGATCTTTTTACTGGGTATCTCAACAACTAAACATGATTATGCTTGCATTGAAAACATATGCTGCACCATATGCTCCACAATGATGTCTATTTCCATCATTTTTGATGTAAGGTATCTGCTGGTTATAAGCAACAAATGTACCATCTTCGAGAATATCAACCTTTGTGTACTACAGATTTGAACCTAGTTAATAAAGGAAGTATCTGCCACATGTTAAAGAAAGCTAGATAAACTGAAAGTGAAGAAGTATCCCTTCAATCATTACTTAAATATCCCATTATAAGTTTTAGTTTAAAATGTTAATTCAGTAAATAAAGGAACAACTATGTTTAGTCCTCGACTTCATCGTGTATGAGCCATTTTTTGAGTTAATTTTTCTAAGAATTATATTTTAAAGCAAAGTATTCCCTTATTTTCTTTTTTTGCATTCCAGCTTGCTTGGGAATATGGAATACCTTTCTTTGAGACCAGTGCAAAGAATAATATAAATATTGAAAATGCATTTTCAGTTCTCGCCGAAGAAATATTGAACAAGGTAAGCAAATTGAAATTCTTTCTTATACCATTTCATATGAATTAAAAGAGGCTGTCCAAGGTAAAAGATCTGTCCGCTCCCTTTGTATATTTTATTCTTTATCATAATAAGAAAAAAGCTTTAAAGAAAGAAAATATGAACCAGAAAGGCTCAATTTTGAAAAGGTTTGTGTATATTGGCTATATAGCTCTACCTATCTGCAATACTGACCATACTACTCTCAATTATTATTATACTAAGATACTGAAACTAGTTCCTTCCAATTCAATTGACTGAACACTCAAGCTGTGTGATGTTAATATTTATCTATTTATTTACCTTACAGGTAGTCCTCAACTTATTAAAACTTTTATTAAAAAGTCCCGCCTTAGTCATGAAAGCCAGATGGATTATTTTGGACTAGTCACACTCTCTCAACTCACTTCACAGGGAGGTTGATGTGGGAAAAATAAGAAGGGGGAGGTTTGTTGAATATATTCGTCACCTTGAGTTATTTGTAAAAATAATAAAGGCAGGTTACAAATAAATAAAAACAGTAAAAAAAATCATGTACATTTCAAATCAAATAAAAAATTAGCATTAACCAACATCTATATCCCATAAACTTAATCTCTTTCCTGAATTTCAATACAGGTAATCCTTAGATTATGACCACCTGTTCAGTGACTGTTCAAAGTTACAATGGTACTCAGCGAGGGGGATTTATAAGTGATTCTCAGATTTGTGGCTATTGCAGCTTCTGCATAATCATGTGATTGTGATTTCCAACAGTCCCTTCTGGCTTCCCACAAAGTCAGTGGGGAAGCCAACAGGAAGTCTGAAGTTGTTCCCACTGCTTTTTTTGTTTGCCTATGCTCTGTAACACCTGTTTGCAGCACCACCTCCCACAGCACTCTGTCCCTGCCCCTGCTCCTCAGTACCTGCCAGTGGTCCTGTCCCCGTGGCACCCACCTATACTCCCTAGTGCTGGTCTGCAGCACCTCAATGCCCCCTTTGGTACCCATGCATACAACCATGTTCTGGCACACCTGCTCACAACTTCTGCCTGCCTGCCCATTGCTCTTCCTTCAGCTCTCACCTGTGAGCCTGCTTGCCTGAAACTCCCACCTTCTCCTGCTTAATGACCCCCAGGGTCCAAGGGTTATGACTGCAACCGGAACTGTAGGGTTGCTGTTGCTAAACCATGTAGTCACGTGACATCATTTTACAACTGCATTACTTAGTGGGGTGCATTTTGCATCTCCCAAGACATTATTACATGGGATACTACTTGAATTTCTTTTTTCCACTAACGGTAATTTTATTTTAAACAATTTTATTTCAAATACCAAATAAAAAAGTATTTATTTTACTGGCTGAACACTATTCTATGGCTTTTTCCCCATCAGAATTCCTGTGTATTACTCAACTTAGATGTGGTGGACCTAAATGAAAAACTACAAACAAGATCTTGCTGCAAATTGTGACTGTACAAAGAAAGAGAAAGCTACTAGTACTGGTGACTTGTATATATCAAAGCCTTGAATCCCTAACATATAAAATTTCTCAGTTATACTGATACTAACAAACGAACAGATTCTTTATCCATTGACATTTTATGTAATTGCTGTTGCAAGCCAAACATTAGATTTACGTTATGTATCATGACTGTAAAAGTTATTCAGAATGGAAGAGTAAAAAAAAATACAAACTATCTTTGAATGTTGGCCATCATAGCTTATTTATACAATAAACCTAAAAGGTAAACATGACATCTTTGTGAAGATTTGAATTCATATTTACTAGCGGGCACTTTTAAATACTTTGTAAAATGAGAAAAAGGAAGAAATAGCCTAGGGTGAACTCAGGAATGATGGTCAGTTCAAAGCCTCCAAAGCAACCCAAAATCACAGACTAACACCCAAGAATGACCTGCAAATAAAGATTGAGCAACAACTGATTTCTCCATCTCTCTCCAAGATTCCAAAAATGCTTTTACAACACACACTTCTTCTGAGGCCACTATCAGTTCTCCAGCACCTCTAGTTTCCATTAGGAAGGGACAGAATCTTACAAGTGAGAATGTGACTCAGACTTTATACCTAGGAAATGCCCTTTAACACTAATTGAGACAGTCATTTCTATTTTTGGGTACTTACCAATAAGCAACAACAACTTAGGTTCTTTAAAAAAAGCCTTTTACCAGAAACAACTAGAGAAACTAATCACTTACAGAAGCCCAAACATTAAGAGAGAGCAGCGTGGATTTAACAAGAAGGGACATTTAATCTCCGATAAGAGAGGGATTCTGTATTACTGTATAATGAAAAGAGGGAGAGGAGAATTAACAACAATTGGCTCCTTCAGGTCTCCCTAATTAAGAGTTTACAAGAGTTATTTGGACACCAAAAGAGCCCTTGTTTTAACTTCAAGCAAATTCCTCCAATGTTAACCACATCTGATAGACTTACATGCAGCCAAATTACTACCCAGTGAAATAGAATGTAAGTGCCAGTGAAATAGGATGTAAAAGAGATTTTTTGACATTCAAATGCCCTACAATCCTGGTATGCAGCTCAAAATGATGGATATGTTGGAATGCAAGTTGGAAATCTCTCTATACGTACAGGGGATAAAAAGCTGCCCACTACAAACAGCCTTGACAAAGAGAAATTCAGACAAGCACTTTTAGACAATTAACAACATAAAGATTACAGATGAAGCTGATTCATTCTTTTACAACACTGCCAAGTTGTGTGAAGATGAAATATTGAGAAAATTAACGAATGTACAACAGACATTTAATCTGTTTAGCAGCAGAACTTCTGGTACACATTTTTGGGCAATATCTTCTAAAGCAAATTGCAGCTATAATAACAACAAACATATACCTTGGATACATTTTGAACCAACTGCTGAAGTAATGAGAAGAATATGTTAACCTAATAGCTAGAAAAGGGTTGAATTTATAGCACGTTTTATGACTCCATCTCCCTGATGTAAGATCTGGTCCATGATATTCTAATGCCTTGCTTCTCTCTAAGTCTATTGTTGGCTCAAGTGGACTACAAGATATAGAGAACCCACAGAATAATATCCAACATTTTGAATAACCACTGGGAACAGTTTAGCAATATCTTTGTCTTGGCAAACTCAATCAAGTGAGGGGGTGTCTAGATCCCAAAGGACACAGAGTCCAAGATGGATGGCCCAAACATCAATGAAACCGCAGCAGGAATATGGATGGGGCAAAAGACTCAGAAGAGTCATTCCCTAGTTTCTTGGTTTATAAGGGATGTACTTTCAGATTTGTAAGATTCTGTTCATGTAGTTTACAAGTAGACTTAGCTCATCTGGTAGTATTTCCTGCTAGGCTACCCCATAAGGCTGACAGGGACCCACATCATGACCTATGAAAGCACTGTAGCTTAAGCTCCAGATGGCCTTTGGCTGCTGGAGGTTTGCAAACTCCTGGCCTGATCACTCTCTAATTGCTTGGTGGGAGGGAAGCTAAAGGATTCTGTGTCACCAAAGACCAGGAAGTGGTGCACAAGGAGCTTTAGGGGGTAATTGTAGGCTTGGGAGACCCGGGATAGATAAGCCTGAATCTATGCTAGGCCTACCAGGTCCTCCCACACAAGACATCCCATCCTCTGTTTAATGGCCCACACGTTTGTTTAATGGTTGCATCAGGGAGAGCAGGGGGTGGCTCATTAAACAAAGCTGCTCAATTAACAGCCTAAACCACTTGTGTCAATAATGGGCAAGCAACATCACAGTCATAACTCAAGGACAACCTATAGGAGCTGTGGTGGCAGTGGTTAGATTGCAGTATTGCAGGCTAACTCTGCCCGCAGCCTGAAGTTCAATCCTCACCAGCTCAAGGTTGACTCAGCCTTTTAAGGTTGGTAAAATGGAGACCCAGATTGTTGGGGGCAATATGCTGAGACTGTAAACTGCTCAGAGAATGCCATAAAGCACTATGGGGCAGTACATAAGTCTAAGTGCTATTGTTATTGCTATATTTATATCCTTATTTAAAAATCAAGAAATGTTAGGACATCCAAGATAAACTATTGTAATTCTCACATGTAATGAACTTGTACTGTATATTATTAGGATGATTGTGATTTTCATATCAAAGACCACTCTGAAGAGGATAACCTAGAATACACTGGGATTGACTGGAGGATGATAAATTATTATATGTCCTAGTTTTTTTCCCCTATTGTTTTTATAGCTTTTTGACATGGTCAATGACTAAACAATTAAAACATTAATCATATATCATTATACAATTTTTAAGTAATTTACCATTTTAGGAAAATTCTAATGGTGCTCTTTAAATTAAAGCAGGGATCCCCAACCCCTGGGCCGTAGCCCACTACTGGGCCGTGAGCTGTTTAGAGCCAGGCTGTCGAAAGTGGTGGGCGAGCATGCACATTCCCACCTATTCCCACTTATGTAAGCAATGAAAAGTGCATGCATTCCATTTGCCTGAGCAGCACATGCCCACCAATCATGCAAATGGAGCTGCGCACATGTGCGTTTGCCTGCTGCTCACGCGGAATCAGCCCCTCTCCACCCACCACTCCACAAAGCCGGAAAGGTTGGGGAACTCTGAATTAAAATTATAATCTCAAAGTTACCAACCTATCTTGTCTAATATAAAATAGAGTGTTACCTCCAAATCTTTCTTATGGGTCTTAAAAAAAAAAAAGGCCCTGCATACAGCTATTTACCTCCCCTTTTGAGAATTAACGTTAGGATTGCTTTGATATCCTCATTCTTGCAGCTTTCGTGGGCTTAAAAATTACCAGATCTTTTTAAAGAACCAGATAAAGCAAGTGAAAAGAATAGATGAAAATCTATTACCTATTTCTTATCCCATTATCAAGGCAGCAAGAAACCTCAGGCTCCCACATGAATCATTGTTAAGTTCAAATGCTCAGACAGCATTTATAACATAAGTCACTTTCAGTTCCACTTTGCTCAGGAATAATTTTATTACTACCCTGTATGAGGAAGGTGGTTATCATAGCTGGCATAAAAATTGGGCAGTTAGAAAGGTAAATTTATTTCTATGTAAATAATGCCATTTAGAAAACATTTTATACCAACCACCAGAAGTTGAGGCCATTTGAGGATTTGAGTTGTATGCAGAAACATTGGAAAACAATCATATCTTGAGATCACACCAATGTTTAGTAGTGGAGGCCAGTTCCACTGTATCATGCTTTACGAGTTAAATAGGTCAAGCATAACGTTGCAGATTCCTTCATGGGAGAAGAGTCTCAGAAGGTTTGTGATAGAAAATTCCTGTTCCACTTCATGATTATCAGCTAAAAAGTGCTGTAAGGTTCCATCTTGGGCCCCAAGTTGTAATGAATCTGTACGTGCTGGGAAAAGTCAGTATGGTAAGTCACATTTACCTTTCACTCCTATCTACTTACCTCACAGAGACTGTAGAATTCTTGAAGGAGCATCACAAGGCTTCTTGTCATGCTTAAACAATGCTTAAGAGGCTTAGATCAGGTCTTTGATTGATATTTGAAGGATTGTATATTTTGAGGCACTTTTACTGTCTAGGGTTCTCGTGGCTTCAATAGCCTGCTGAGGGCCAGCTATTTGTCCTATCCACACTAAACTATTATTATTGCTTCCAAGTCCAATTCAAGGTATTGATGTGATCCCCTAGATCAGGGATCAGCAACCCATGGCTCTGGAGCCGCATGTGGCTCTTTCATCCTTCTGCTGTGGCTTCCTGTCACTCAAAATGTGTGTCACAACTGCCAATGTGCGACACCCACCAATACACAATTTATTAAGGTTTTCGACCCCAGGTAGGCCAACCATGGATAAATCCAAGAAAAGTTTCAGAAGAAAACAGAATCTTTAATTCAACTAAATATGCTAGTTTTGTGGCCGCTCAGGAAATAGTCAGGCACGGGAACAGTTTTGTGGCTCCCGGTGTTTTCTTTTTTGTGGGAAATGGGTCCAAATGGCTCTCTGAGTGTTTAAGGTTGCTGACCCTTGCCCTAGATGGCATGGGGCCAGGCTACCTATAGAACCTTCTTTGTCCTATTACATCAGCCCATCCCACTTGATCAGGCAGAGAAAATATGTTGCAGATCCTTTCAGTTAAAAAACTCTTGATTAGTGGGATCTAGAAAGACAGCTGTCTCTGCTGTTGCCCCTGCCCTGTCGAATATTCTCCCTGCTGAGGTGAGACAGGCCCACTTGACCTTCTGAAAAGGAGCCCAAACATGGCTCTGCAGCCTTGTGTGGAGAATCCAGAGTAGCACACAGCCATGGAGCTGGCTGGTACTTTGAAAACCCTGCCCTCAACTTTTTAACTAACTTTAACAGTGCGTAATCATCCTTGCCTCCCTCTAAATCTGTAATTTTTATATACTATTTTTATATTTTAACATTTTATTGTACACTGCCCAGAGTCCCTCTCTGAGGGAGATGGGCAGTTCAAAAATTAATAAACAAACAAACAAACATTCTGTGCAAAGCTGCCTTTAAGGGCTATCTGCAAACTTGAATTGGTGTTAGAATCTAAATACTCAGGAGTTGGTAAGAACAGGAAGTCAGAACATATGATACCTGTAGAACATTAACTATGATTTCCAAAGCTAATTAAAATTGTTGGTATTCTGAGAGCAAGTGATGTGAAGAATAGTTTTCACCTATATCAACATGTCAATACTTTTTAAGACAGGAAGGGGGACTCATCACATTTACAAGTTGTTCTCCTGGTTTCCATTAACTGTGGTATCCATATGGATTGCTGTCTCAGCCAATTCTGACATCTTTCATGAAAACCCTAGAGTCCTATCTGTTCCTTCAAAGTTCCCCATGACTGGCTCTCTTTTGAGATTTAGCTGCAATACAGTCTGTTTCAATACCCTAGGGTAGTGTTTCTCAACTTCAGCAACGTTAAGATGTGTGGACTTTCACTCCCAGAATTCCCCAACCAACATGCTATTTTTTATTCTTAAGGGCCTGAAATTACTTTAAGTGTAGGCAGTACTCATTCATAGTTGTATGACTACAGTTATCAAAATCCTATTTTTTTAAAGAGCTACCTAATATGCCTGACTTCTTTAGTTCAGAAACCTATTTCTGCATTTCCTTTGGGAGACAGTGTCAGAAGGGCAGGCTTGAGATGTTGTCACACTGAACAAGGTATGTTTTCTGTCAGACATAACTTACTTTACTGAACAAAACAACATCTGTGACATTCCCATTGGTAACCAGTCACTTACCCTAATGCATGAGAGAGCACTAGAAGTGAACATCAGTTCCTCCCCATGTCATTTTTTCAAAGCAGTCATAATACCAAAAGAGAGGATATATTTATGTATTATAAGACATAAGACTAGAGAGTGGGAGACTGTGAGTTCTAGTTCCTCCTTAGGCATGAAAGCTGGCTGGGTGATTTTGGGCAGTCACTCTCTGTCAGTCCAGCCTACCACAAAGAGTTATTGCTGTTGTGAAGAAAATAGGAGGGAGAAGGATTTTTAGGTATGTACCCTGCATTGAGTTATTTATAAAAATAATAAAAATGCGGGATAAAAATCAATTTTAAAAAATATTGTATTATGTATTAATTACTCTAAAGATTTATAAATTGTGTAACTCCAGGGACTCTTGGCTAAGTATCCAATTGAAACAATACAGTGAACAATGGGTTAAAAAGCAATTACAAGTAGTTCTCACTTAACAATTAAGTCATTTTACTATTTGAAGTTATGATAGCCACAGAATGGATTTTTTACTGACTGATAACTACCCCAGGCGGTCATAAATGGTCAGGCTGCCCTCCCATGATCAGTCGACTGCATTTGTGGGGGGGGGGGGGTGTCATCTTTACAACAGGTCATGGTGTTCTACAGTCACTGCGATTTGAAATGTTTTTTGCCAGTTTCTGGCACTTTTTGTTAGTTACCAGAAAAAGGCCATTCAAATGAATGGGTTCATTTAATAATTTTGGTGTTCACTTAAGGACCACCACAAAAAAGTCTGGAAAATTACTTCGGGTCACATGAGTGCCTTGATTTATGACCAAAATGACTTACAACTGTAATTCCAGGCTGAATTATGATTAAGTCGAGAACTGTCTGTAAAACCTTAAAGAAATACCAAATAATGATGGCCTACTTAGTCACTAAAATTCTAACTATTCTTTGGATGGCCTTGGATGGGAGAACTCTTTGTGCCTCTGAGTAGGAATAAGGAATACCTTATTACCTCCAGTCATACCTTTCAATAAAAAGGACCTTCAGACAAGGACTCCCTGTTCGTCTGGGTCAGTTGGGCAGAATTTACTTAGGACAGCTAGTCTTCAAAAGACTTGTGTCCTGTAGCTTTATTGACAATAACCGGCATATTGAATTGTACTTGGAAACAAGCACTAAGTAGCACAGCCCCCATAACTGTGATGTTATTAGACAATACCATATTGCACAGTAAGCACACAGGCTGTTGCATTATACATTAGCTGAAATTTCAGAGTGGTCTTCAAGAGTAACTCCCCCTCCCCCAAGTTAATTGCAATAATCCAGGCATGAGATGACAAAGGTATGTGTAACCATATTGAGAGCATCCTGTTCTAATTAAGGCTGCAGCTGAAATACCAGCTTGGCAAAGGGTCTCTTGGGCATGGTCTGATTTGGCCAGCTTTTGGGATGTAGCATGTCTTGAACTGAGTAAGGAACAACAGTGTTTGCGTTTCTGCCTTAGACTGAATGTAAAAAACAAAGCAGAAAACACCAAACTACCAATACATAAAATAAGTACATCTATTTTAAGTTATGGCCATCTGTCACAATTGCTATAAATGCTAACATTCTAGGGTCATATCTCATTGTTTATCTGAAGCAGTACACACATTCCTCCAAAGCAATAGTTTTAACCAAAAATGTCCCTGAATTACACACATGAATTTTCTAAACTGCAGACTCAATTCCATCTTCAATTACAAGAAAATGTTCTATAATATTTAAGTTTAATGGTCTATAATATGGACTCTACTGTGCTTTAGAACTAAAAACAAAAGTACAGTGACATGAATGTGACACCCCTTGGCAACTTCTGAAAGTAGCCATGTCTTTTTCTGAGATTAGATAGTTGCCCTTTACTACTGCCATGCGATTCTGAGGTAAAAATGCATTTGGTTTAAGAAACTGCAAAGGGTGTGTGTGTGTGTGTGTAATAGTTTTAAAAACAGGGCTACCATATATTAGTTGTAAAAATATAGATGTCCATTTTAAGAGTTAAGTATTAGTTCTTTCTAATGTCTCTGCCATCCTGTGATTAGCTAGATTTTTATAATCTAAAAAATAGTAACCCTAGCTTTTGAACCTTGTAATTCTCATTACTACATTGAAATGTACTTATTTGCAAAAGAACATTACCTTAAACATACCATATGTAGTAATAGGAATGAAAACTAAAATGGGTATGTATTCTGAAGAGAAATTTCATTTTAATTTACATGTCTTGTAAGGGTACTACTCTGAAGAGATTATCCAGGATTGTAGTATGTTCTTGCTAGCTTTACTTGGTACTTATCTACTTAGTCTTTAACAAAGCTATAATGTTGCTTAATTCAAAGGAATATTGTTCTAACACAATTATTTGTACCATATTGAACAATCATTGTTTTGTTTCATTCCTCTGATAACATTTACTGCCTTTTTTATCACATTTGCAAAACTGGAATAGTTTTCAATTACATCATTGGGTTACCTTAAACTTTGCAAGGTTGTGGAATACCAAGCACTTGAGAAATGTCTAGGGCTTTTTTAGTTTTTAAGCTTTGTCTATAGCTTTGCTCACCTTAGCTCACCTACCCAATTCACCAGCTGAAAGCTGCTTTTCTTCCACTTTTTAAAAATATACAAACTGCTTTTATTGGGACTTTCCTTTGTGGGAAAGGAGAGAGATTTAATCCTCTCTCATATCAGCTGTCGTTCTACATCATTTAATCTTGTCCCAATGCTGATGCGGAATGTCACGTCTGCGTTTCAGAGACTGGAATGGAGCAGGTATAGATGGCAAGACTGGGTGGCAACAGGGCTGGGCTCTGGTTGGAATGCAGAAGCACTTGCTGGAAACAAGGCAGCGTGTTACTCCCTTCCTCCTTGCTGTTGCCACAAATCTCTGGCAGAGGATTATAGCCAGTGGGACTGAGCTCAGAAACAAAATGAACAGTATACACGACTTAAATCTTTATTACAGTCATAGACCAGCATATGTGATTTATATTCCAGCAGCTCAAGGTGATGTACATGTGTTCTTGGCCTGCAATTTCCTCATCCCATCACACCCCCAGCAGTCCAATCAACTAGGAAGACCTAAGAATGACTGATGCAAAGTTGCACAGCTAATTTCTATGGCTGAAGGCAGATTTGAACCTGGGTTTCCCTGGTGCTAATCACCATTAACTTTCTCAGCAAGCAGCTAGGGGACATAAGGCTGCATGTCATGCCAGGCTGTGTGCGTTTTGGATCAGCTGTGCTCATACGGTTCACATTGCTAATAGTTCACATAACAAATACAGTACCAGCATCTTCTCTAATTGCTGTCATTGTTTCCCGCTCCACATCTTTACATGGTTTTGATCCTTCTGAAACAGTAAGCAAAGATTGTCCTTGATGGTTTGCCCTACAACAGCAAACTCAGGTCAAGATCCCAAGCAGGTTAAGCAAGTACCTGCAAATACCTTTTGTGCAACCCAGCCACAACTGGTTTAATTTGAAAAACCACATTAACCATGGCTTAGTGTATTGTGTGAACTTCAAGGTGTTCAGTCAGTGGGATTTAACTCCCAAATGAGCCGGCAGCAGAACAGAAACAGCAGCCAGGAAAATATTGGTTAGGCTTCCTACTTATGATCGGCACAAGCTGTGTCTTCTTTGAAGGTAAATCCAAGGTTTTTTTCCTGCTGCTTTCCTCCTTCAAGCCAAAGCTTGCAGCTGAGCAGTTTTAAGCAAAATAAATAAAAAAATAAAAACAAATCATTTTAGCGATTCCAGCTTGAACTCGGGCAGCCAAACTGCAGGCCTTTTTAGCGGCCGGCAGAGGGAGCGACAGGGCCAGAATTGACGGCGGGCGGTTGTCCGTCTCTTCTCTACCCACCCACCCCTCTCCCTTTCCCGGCTGATCCGAGAAGGAGGGAGCGCCGGGGCTCCACTTTCCCTGGGAGTGGAGAAGAGGAGGAGCGCGAACTGCGCAGGCGTCTCTCGCACCTTGTTGATTAGTCAGTCCCCTGTGCTGGGATGGCGTTTACTGGGTCAACTGGAGCTATCCGCGAAAGAGTCTGCGGGAGCAACAGCAGCCGCCTTTGCAACCCACGCCGCGGCTGGCGGAGCAGCAGCGGTCGGTGGCAAGTCACCTTGCCGTTGCGCCAAGTCCAGGATGGCCCGGGAAGGCGACGGCGGCAACACTAGAAGCTGAAGGAAGAGTGCAGCTTCCCCCCCCCCCCGCCAAAGACTTCGCCGCCGCTCGACTCTTCCGAACCGAAAGAAGGGCGGGAAGATGGATGCGGCCCCTTCGCCGGGCTTCGGTCTGAAGGATGTGAAATGGAGCTCCGTGTCCATCCCTTTGGACCTTCTGGTTAGCACTTACCGCTTGCCCCAGGTCGTCAAACTGGACGGCGGTAAGTCGAACCGCAGGGGCCGGCGGGGGCAGAGGCAGCCTGGGAATGCCGCTTTGGCTGCGCTTGGAAGAAAGGGGGCAAGAAGCCGAGCGGGGAAGACCCGTTCCTCTTCCCTCCCCCCCCCCACACCCCACCAGTGAGGCTCCGCCGGCGCCGACTCCCTCCCTCGGCTTGAACGCTGGCCAAACTCCAGCTCCCGGCCGCTAGTCCTTCTGGGGAGACGAGCCCATTGGGGAAAGAGGGCACGTGACCAAAATATGAATGGGCCCTTAATGAGGGGGGGTGGGACGCCGAGGCTTTCAAGCCTGTGGAGTAATGCGGGTGAGACGGCTGGGGGGGGGGGGGGGGGAGGTCAGCTGTATCGCCCAGAGGTTGGTGCCGTCGGTGCGCGACGCCCGGGAGAAGATCCTTTAGCTGCGCTTGGATGGTCCTACTTTGGATCCCCTTTCGAGCAATTGCTATTGGCAAATGCCGCAGTTTAAAGTCCCGACACTTATTAGGAAATGTAAAATCCAACTCCATACTTAACTGAGTTTTCTTAGCAAGTGCATTACCCCCTTCTTCCTAATCCAGACAAGTTCAACCTGGTGTGTGTCTGCTCACACGGACACGCCCATTGCGGGGGTGTAAAAGGTTAGGACTGAGCTCCCGAGCAATGTAATTGGAAGTTAAATCCCATAAAGGGCTTTGGGGATGGGATACTAACTTCGATGGACGGAATCCAACTCGAGGGTTAAGTACATTCGTTTGAAATAAGTGGAAAACTGCAGAGACTTGGACTGTGGCCGAACGCACGGAGTATTTATTGAACGGAAAGGTTGGCTTCGCGTGTACAAAGCTTTGGTTTCTTGAACTAGCTAGCTAGCCTGGGTTATTAGATCTAAGCTGCAAGAATCCAAATGAAAAAGAGATTGCTGCCATTTAGTGGTCACTTGGATTTTTGCAACCCAGATTTTATAGCTCTCCTCCCACTAAATCTAAGCAGGAATTATTTATTTCTGTGTATGATCCATCTACTTTGTTCTAATTCATACCAATTAGGTGTGTAGGGAGAGAAATTATGACAGACTTGAAGTAAAAATAAACATTCACCTCTTCATCCATCCTGTGTTCAGAAACTTGTCCAGTGTGCATTTGCCCATGGTTTATGTTACATTATGTCTCATGCCCTGCCAGAGAAAGAGGCATGAATCCAACTGAAAATTTAAAATAACAATCTTAGCTGTTAATCTATTAAAATGATTTTGTTTCCCAAATTCTCAGAAATGTAACTCTATATTTAAAGAGCCATTGATATGTCAGCTTATTCTGATAGGTTATATTTAACTTTGAAAGGATGCCTTTAGAGAAACTGCTGCTCATAAAATACATTATAGTAATAGAGATAGCTATTGTACACTATACTATGGAGTCTCACTGTGCTTCCAAAGTGAGTCAGAAGCACTCACAGTGGTTTGTGATAGGTGTCTTTTTTTGACTGCTTGTTTTGAAGAAAAAAAAATCTTCTACTGATTCTGAATGTTTACTTTCTGCGCCAAGTGTAAGTAGAACTTTACTCTTTGAAAACATGTATGTTGTGCACTTTTGAGACACAAAGACATTTTACAGTAAAATGCAACAGATTAGATTGTTTATCTATTAATTTGAAGCTTTTTATCTACATAGCACAAAAGACCAAGAGCACTCCTGCAGCATTTATGCCCTCTTTAAATATTAAATAGAAAAGGTTTTCATTCTTACATCACCTGTTCATTCAGATCTGTCAAGGATTTTCTGAACTGATTATATCAGATATTCAGCAAATCAGAAACAGCACTTTTCATAAATATTTAATTTTTGTCTGTAATATTAGTTTATATTTAGTTCTAATGCAATATAAACTTGTGTAATATTGCATTAGAACTAAAGCAAAAAATGAAACTACGTATATCATGTTTTGCTAGAGGGTGCAAAGAGTAATTGGTATTTGAATTTCCATTGCTGGGAATTCCAAAGTTATGTTTTTCTCTGTACCTTTCGTCTTCTCTCATATGCAGCAGTACTAACATTGATATTAATGTTCACCTTTCCTTCCTTTTGAATAAATTGATTTCCAAATCTAGACCAGCCTCAGTTGTGATTTATATATTGGAAGTAGGGAAATTTATATACCTGCCAAGCTACATACAATTATGTACCGTAATTGATTTGTATTTGGTGTTAATATTAGTGTGTTCTTTTGAAGTTCTAAAAGTTTACAGCTTGGCATTATATGTAAAATGAATTTTTCAAAAACCATGGTTTAAAAGGGCAAAGACCTAGTGTTATATGAGGAGCCAACTACTCTCTGTTTCCTGTATGTATTGCTCCCAAATGTTTTCAGCAATATTTCCTGAAATCATAATTTTATCTTGGCATTCTTTCCATGATCTTGTTTACCACTTTCTTTTATTTATTTATATCTCCTGCCTCTTGCAATTCTTTGAAATCATGGGCATCTTACTATATCTACTGGCATTCTTTTTCTAGTCATTCAGTTTGCACCTAGTAGTACTGTGTTACATGGCTATCAATTCAACAGTCAGTGCTGTTGAGTTCAGCTAGGCTTATTCTTAATTGCTTAGTTACTTCATTACACCAAAATCTTTGCTCCAGAGTTTTCTGCGGCTTCATGCAGCAGCTACTTGTTCAATACACTTATGTAAGACTTACTTTGCTTAACATTGTATTTACTTATTCTGTTTGCATATTACCAAACCAATACAGACTCAGAAGAGTTTATAGCACTCCAATAAAAATAGGTATTCAATTAAAATATCCACAATTGGTATTATTATAAACAATATAAAAGACCATCAAGCAACACCTGCCTATCCCAGGTCCTTGGGATTCAATAGGTGGATTAAAATGCCACATCCAGTCTGGCTGGCTGTACGGTGAATCATAATAAATAATGAAGCTGAATAAACAGTGGACCACCTAGTTAACTACTGCAAGAAGATCACACAGACTTGGGCAAATAATAGCGTGACAAAGTAGCAACAGTGGTACATCAGAATGTCTGTAAGAAATATCTGGTGGGACCACAAAATAGACAATAAAGAAGGTAAAGTGCTTTGACACTTTAGAATTCAAACAGACAAACACCTGTCATATAATACCCCAGACTTAACAATTGTCTATAAGAAAGACAAAACAGTCTGGACAGTGGATGTTGCTGTACTTGGAGATGACAAAAATCACAAAATACAAAGTACTGCAAATAGAAGTAGAACAACTATGGCAAAAGAAAGCAAAGATAATACCAATAGGGTGTTGCATCTTGGGTGCAATCAGAAATCAACTGGAACACCAGCTGAACATCATCAGCATTGACAAAAATTGTCAGTCAATTGCCAAAGGCAGCTTTTCTTGGAACAGTTTACATCCTGTGACAATAATATCATTAAACAACATCCATAGGAATGAATCAATGGGTGGATAAAAATGCTAAATCCAGTCTAGCTGGCTGGCTCTGTGACCAACCATAATTATTTATTCATTTGTTAAATTTATTTGCCGCCCATCTCACTGTGGGGTTACTCTGGGCGGTTCACAACAATGGGAAAAGATGAAAAATGTAAAAATAACAATACCAAAGCAACAGTTAGCAAACCATGAATTAAACCTTAGAAGGGAAAAGGGCATTAGAAAGAAACTTAAAGTGAATCTGCCTTGGTTTTCTTTGGTATAAGAGGGAGGGAAGAAAAAATGCTGTCAGGCTTTCAAGATTGATGTCAGCCTTTGAGGCAGGTCAAGAAAGATACTCCACCAGAAATACTAGAATTTTATTTTACTAATATAGGCTATAATAACCGAATCTTGAAAGACTGACAGCATCCTCCATTCTCTCTCTCTTAATTCATGTTTGCTAACCCTCCTTCATCAGGTCCATCTCTGTGGTTCTGTATAGCATCAAATGCTTTGTGAAAGACTTCCATCTTAAGTTGGTCCCAAAACATTAGGAAAGTTGGTGCAAGCCTTAATTCCAAGAGGAACTATTCCAAAAAGCTCAAATGGTGACTGGAAAACAGAGCCTTTCAGCTTCTATTCCCTTTATCTCATGAGAGGGGGAGATGGTATAAACAGATCCCCAGGAAAAGCTAGATGTGAAGATGATCCTGAAGGTACTGGGCAGTGGTGAAATCCAATTTTTTTTACTACTGGTTCTATGGGCATGGCTTGGTGGGCATGGGGTGGCTTGGTGGGCATGGCAGGGGAAGGATATTGCAAAATCTCTATCCCCACCCTGGGGCCAGCCAGAGGTGGTATTTTCCGGTTCTCTGAACTACTCAAAATTTCCGCTACTGGTTCTCCAGAACCTGTCAGAACCTGCTGGATTTCACCCCTGGTACTGGGGCACTAAGACATAAACAAAATGATTGGTTAACACCAATACTTTGGACTACGTCTGGAAACCTATTGACAACTAATGTGGCAGGTCTTGAAGTACAGTTGTATTGTGCTGGGGATATAATATTTCACCTGGTACTCTCCAGAAAGTTTGTACTCTTATACTTATCATTGCAGGCAGTTCCAGACAATGTGGCTAATAGTACTATAGTGATAAATATCTCTGTGTGATGTCTGTGATCACAGCCAGATAAGATTTTTGGAGAAATTAGATTGCTTAGTATGTTGTAACAATTTAGTTGATCCCATATTATCAGGTTTTCCCCCTCAAAACTAGTGTATGATATTTTTTGCTATCACTGAATAAAGTAGAACATCAGACAATAATTCTCATTAGCATTTGAAAGACTTTTCCTTAGTTCTTAAGATAACTCACATGTTGTTTCATAAATATCTGGAAAGTGAACAATAGTTTTCTGCATTATTTAGGGAGATTTAGATCTGTGTCACTCACAGCTTATATTTCATTTACTAAACCACTAAACTATGTGCTATGTATTCCCTTAATTCCATTTTTTTTGCCTGTATTCACTACTGATTTTGTGAACTGGTATATAAATCATTTCAAC